TCAATTTGTGTGTAAGAATGCGTGCACACTCACATCTGCCCGTTTCATTTGGGTGGGTGCAGACTTCCAGATGTGCACAGCCGATTGCACTTGATTCCTCACCTCATTGGTAATGAACAGCTGTTAATTGCCTCCCGAACACGAGGGGCAAGCCAGGAGACGGGGATTGAGCTCGTCACAGCATGTTAATAATTACTTTATGTGAGTGATTAAGCCACTGGTGGTAAAAGGTTGGAGGTTAAACGGTATTAAATGTGATGACAATCGTATTATATAATGACGTCTGCTCATGTGCAGCTTCAATTTGTTGTTCCTGTATATTTGCCACTTCTGTAAATGATTTTATTTTCCCTGTTTTTATATTGATGATGCCTTACAATGCCGACAGACAACTACTGGTGGCATTTGAATTATTTATGCAGTGTTATTGCAAGTCTCTAGAAAAAGAAAATTACATTTTTAAATAAACATGTTCAGCTGAGAGTCAACCTCATGCAGTACCTTGAAAACATGTCCAAACCAAATGAACCTTTTCTTGGATTGTGTCACCTTCCAACCACAAACGTCAATCTGTTGCTTGTGGATTTTATTCAATAGACAAAGATAAAGTAATGGTTAATTGTGAAGTGGAAGACAAATATATTTAAAAAAGAATACTTTTCAGAACAGCCTTTCTCTGAAATGAAACCTGCAGGACTTTTGTTCATTCTCTCTTCCTTGGAGATGCTACATATTAGTCTAGCACATGTAGGTCAAACGATTCAACTTTGGTTTCATCTGACTATCATGTAGGAGACGTTTCCTGTCTCCTACATGATAGTTGCAAACTGCAAACAGGACTTCTGAGACATTTCTTTTAGCAATAGCCTTTTTCTTGAAACTCTTCTAGAAAGGCCAAATTTCTAAAGTTTATGATTAATAGTTCATTGCCCCACTTGAGCTTTAGCTCCTGGGTTACTCTGATGAATGTTTTCCTTGCTTGTTCTGTCAGATGATGCGGAAGACCTTGGCAGGTTTGTCAGTGTGAATTGCTGATTTTCTTTCAGTGATTGTGCTGGTTGATATTCTAAGCCTGCTTCAAATTTCTTCACATGTTTATCTCTGACTTGTCTCTTTGTTCTTTATTATTATTATTATTATTATTATTAAATATTAAGTTACACACTGATTTGTCTACAGGTTAGCTTACTTGTGAAAGCAGCTAGCTTTAATTAAACATTTCAGAGTTTAATTAATAAAATAAATTGAAACCCATTTTATTTTTTTCCCTCTTCTGACTTATCCTCAAATGTGAAACACATTAGAGTTTGTGGTTTTTACACTGTATGGTGACACAATTTTACTAGGAGGAGAATGTTTTTATCTGCAGTGATGTCTAGGAAATATCGCAGACATCATCTAAGAATAATTTTGAAATATAACACCAGTTCCTCTTTTGGAAAACAGAAGGTCTCAACCACTGTTTTTACAGAGTCCCAGGGACTGATTTTTCTGGTAGCCAGCTGTAATCTTTGGTTTCGTCAACATTTTTCACTTTTCACTGCTCAGATAGTTGCTGCAGAGAGCCAGAGGAAAATCTGGAAAGCACAGAGGGACTTTTGTGAAAGCAGGCACTCCTCAAAGCCAGGATTCAATAATTGCTTTCCTCTTGTCTCACGCAAGTGACAGATGGCGAGGCCACCAGAGGGCTGAAGATGGGAATAATATTGTTGATTAAAAAGAAATATAGGAAACAACATGCAGCTGTTGGCTGCATGACAAAAAGAGAGGCTAGGAGTGGGACAAAAAAGAAGAGAAAGAGCCGGTTAGCAGTGACAATAAAACTCATCTGGCCCACCCACATTTTAATTCCAGGTCATTTCAGCTGCTGAAGTGTGAAGGATTTCTGGAAGGTGAGTTATTCATGAGAGCACAAACCCCTTTCAAGGATCGCACACCTTTATGTATTAATCTAGTTTTTTTGGGGGGGGCGGGGGGTTGGCTTTGTTTAACTTGGACTCAGACACTTGTCTTTTAAGTTCAAAGAAACTCAGACATCATAAACATCTGTCTGGTGTGTGAAGGCATGTTAGTTGTTTCTTGTATTCAGAAAAATTTATTTCTGCAGAAGTCATAAGGATCCAACCTGCACAGCATATTTTACGCATGCTAATATATTTCCAAGAATTTCCTCAAAATGTGGAAAACTTAAACTTCCTACAAAAGATGTAGTTTTTACTTAACACAAAGACGCCCAAGGGGCCTTTTTGTAATGAGCTGTCACAAAAACAGACATCTGTGTTTCTCGTTCCAATGAAATCTTTTGTATTTTTCTCTAGAAATAGTCCAGTAGACATTATCCCCTCATATAATAAAAGGTGTGCAAAGACTCAAAACATATCTTTATACAGTTGTCTTTTCTTTTCATCTTGGAAATTCCTGTTTGACCTCACATGACTATAAGGTAACTCTAATGTCTTTAACAGTACATGCAACCTAAGCTACTGTATCTATGCTTTATAGTACAATAAATATGCACGTTGGGTGTCAGCTGCGTTGTATGTTGTCCGGATAAGAAGCGAAATAAGCCTCTGTGATCGGCTGGGTAGATCAAGTGAGATTAAAGGATTTAAGGCTCCATTTGCCCATGAATATCTGATGCCTATCTGAGGCAGGAGCTGGCGATCCTCCGTTAGGTGACTGAGGTGTTGGTGGAAATCCGCCTTATCTGCATCTGGCCATTTTTTTCCCCAACCGGCTCTTTTGTGAATAGTCAGCCCTTCCTTTCTCTTTCTCCCTGCCTGAGTCAAAATATAGTAAATGATTCATCCGTTCGTCACACATCAAAGCATTTTCAGAATCAAGATATCGCCAAAGCAAGCAGAAATGAACTATTGTTCTGCTTTGATTTGACACGCAACCTGGTGCTGCTTGGCTGCGCTAAATATAAATCAGCAGCTGGCAATCAGTGGTTAATTAAAGCTGTGAAATGACCTGGGTCTGATTGTGATTCTCCGGTGGTCGTGTAAGACAAGCCTCCTGTGGTTTCTCTAAAAGTCATCAGCCGCATATCTGAGAGTTCATGCCTCAGAGTTCAGACACGACACACACAAGTCTGTCTATATGTTCTCCCCCTTCTGCTGTTAATCATTTTGGGATGTGTGCATGAGAGTTACTGAAATTAGAGAACTGAACTCAGATTGTTTTATTCGAATGTGTGTTAATCACCATCTTTTCAAGGCCGGAGTTCGATAAGTGGAGACAAAAAGTGTTACAATCATCCCCTATTCATTTTTTTTTTTCTATTTTGTTACAGATTCTGCCACATTGCAACCCTCCACTTTCATGTGATTTATTGGAAATGTATTTGATAAAACAACACAAATAGGATTCAAAATATGTAACAAGTAAAACAATCTGAAAAGTGTGGACTGTATTAGTATTCAGCCCCCTTCACTCTCATCTCCCTGGGTAAATCTTTCAAACAAATGAATCCAGACTAGCGTCGCTGCACATTTTTCATTCATGACAACAAATTGAAAAGCCAGAAACATCAGTAATAAAGTTTGCTTGTTTGTTTGTTTATTTATTTGGATCTCCACTAGCCATTACCGTAACAGTGCCTACTCTTCCAGGGATCCACAGTAACAAAGTTGTGGAGAAGCTTAAAGGAAAAAAAAAATATCTAAAGGTACAGTTCAATCTTTCATGTAATGCACTTAAACTGACAGAGCAGAGAAGTGCTTTGAAGCAGCCAAAAAAGACACAAGGTAAATCTGGAGGACATGTAGAGACGCACACAATCTGCAAGAATAAAACCTGTGAAAAGAAAGGAAGTCATAATAAGCTCTGATTATAGCAAACATCTGTTAGCAGGTAGGACCAAAATTTAACTTTTTGTCTACTTGCAAAATGCTGTGTGCATCAGAGAAATGACAGGAGAGTAAACATACTTCTGAACACACATCTATGTGATGAAACACGGTGGTGACTGCATTATGCTGTTGGGATGTTTTCATCAGGAACAAAGGAGCTGCTGCTAGTCATGCAGGTTAATATTGGAAGAGAATTGTTTGGAAGCTGCAAAAAAAAAAAAAAAAAAAAAAAAAACTCAAACTGAGGTGAAGATCCACCTTCCAGATGGACAATGAGCCAAATCATACAGCCAAATCAAGAATAGAAGGATTTAGATCAAAGTTCATCGATTCATTAAAATGGCCCAGTTAAAGCCCGGAGCTAAATGTAACAGAGAATCTCTCAAAAATGTTGACTATTTATCCACATTTTAAGTTCAGTCTCTGCTAGAAATAGCTGGTAGAAATTTACCCAACACACTTGCAGTTGAAACTGCAGCAAAATGTGGTGTTTACCTCGACAGACCTGAATATAAATTTCTGCTGGGCTTTTTAGATTGTATTTGTAAACCGTTTTGAAAACCATGTATCATATTCCTTCTAAAAAATATGTGCCACTTTGTGTAGTCTAATCACAGAAATCCCACTCGTTTCTTGCTGACAAGATGAAAAAAAAAAAAAAAAACACTAGAAAAATAATATTTTTGTGAGGCACCCAATATTGGTGATCAGAAAGATAAATGTTCATGGTAATGAAAATAAATTGAAGCCACCTCTCTTATTTCAGTATCTACTTTCAACATTTTGAACTAGATTTTCCAAACTTGAATGACTTTTGGCTCGAGACGAAATGGAGCACTGTTCCCACTCTTTATTATTAAAATATAGTTTGAATGTGTGGAAAATGTGGTTTGATCCTTCGTGTGAACGATAAATATACGCGGAAAGACTAGACGAGGCCTGCAGAATAAGCTGTACTGTCTTGCAAATCATTTAATAAAATGTCCCAATTAAACGAATGAAAACATAAAGTTAACGTTCTGAAACGAGACAATAAATCAGAAAAGTTGAAGGGTGGTGTCGGATAAAAATGTAGGATTTTGTGAGATTTTAGGGAGGGTTGCTAGGGTAGGTTCCCTCCCCCTTGGGTGTGTCCACAACCGAGGTGGATAGACCTCAGCCTATCCACCTGCAGAAATCCGCTTCCTTCCACTCCAGACTTGAGCGTCGCTGCGCGCGGGTTGAATCTCCGCTCCGACGATTGTGTCCAAGCGAAAACTCGTCCCTTTTTTTTTTGTTGTTGTTGTTGTTCACCTTTTCAAGGGTAGAAATAAAAACCCCACGGAATCTTCTGTTGCAATAAAGTGCTCACTTCAAGTTTAAGGGGCTCCGTGAAGGTAATTTAAATCCAAGCTTTGTTTGGCTCTGGGATAATCGTGCAGGATCTGCGATTGATACGCCTGCGGACGGAGCAACCTGAGTGGATGGTTTTAAATGGTGACCAGCCGTAGTGCAAAATCTAGGAGCATCTAGAAGGCAGGTGATTATTAAGGAATTGGTTTTTTATGAAAAATGATAACCTTAAACTATAAGTTCACTTGAAGAATGAGGTGGGGGAAATAGTTGCTTTCTGAGTTCAAATGGATATTTGCAAGATTATTTGGTCATTTATTGAAATACTTAAGCTTTATATTTTTTGGTGCGCCTCCCTAAACGCGTGGGAGGTCTTTTTTTTTTTTTTTTTAATGAAACTCTATTGAAAATCACGCAAGGCGCAAAAGCCGCGCGTCATTGTCCGTGTCTCTGTGCGTTTTGGTGGACATTTAAAGTTTCTGCTGCATGTGCATTCTGAGATTTCAAGCTAAGCACACATCCAGTCTCCAGACAATAATTTGGATTTCATGTAAATGCCATATTTCGCTTCCAAAAGGCATGTGGATCATGTCCTCCTAACTCGGAGCCCATGCAGTCGGGCTTTATTTTGGTTAGCGGCTCTCCTTTGGAGCTCTGCCTTCTGTGGCTCAGTGTGGAACTTGATCTTAAACCCTGACTGAAAATCTGACCTCAAACTCTGATCCACGTTTACAAGGAGATCAGTGGCATACATGGATGATTACATCGAATCCCCCTCCATCTCCTTGCTATCACTGTTTTGTTTCCAAACCTAGACCATCATGCATTTTTATGCACGTTTTTCTTTGTTTCTTTCTCTCCTTTTTTTTTTTGCAAATCCGTCCACACTCTGATTTCTTGGATAGCCCTCAGAACCCATTTATGAGGATATTATCTCCAGCTCTCTTTGTGGCGGATGACAGCATGCTGATGCGCTTTGTGATTTAATCTGTGAGCGCAGCCAGTGCGCGCCAGGCTTAAGGGGCAGCAACTCTTTCCAGCCTTGCTAAAGGGGAAACAGTGCAATATCTCCTCAAATTCGTTGCTATGCATTTGTAGCAAACACGCTATGTAGCTTTAGTCAAAAAGTTCAGTCTTGCCGATTTGAATAAGTGCAGAGGCAAACACCAGCTGGATCAATCATGGAAAAAAAAAAGCTACAGAAAATTTGAAAGAAAAAAGGAGCTTGTGATAAAAAAAATGTAGATTTTCTTTGCAAAAAAGATTCACAAAGCATGACTTAAGTTGCATGGCTTGGTGATACATAAAGGCAGCCAATCATGCATGTTGAGTTCCTCATTAGATCAGCACTCAGATGACAGAGTTTAACCATGAGGCCTTATTTCCTTCACTTCAACACAAAAAAGTTCATAATTAGCAGGTGCAGTTCTTTGGATGAATCAGCACCGAGCGAAGACTTTCTGCTGCCAGCACATATATAACATAACAGAATAGGTGGCCACTTCCCCAGCTGGTCAACTAAGTGTAAAACCTTACAGATAAATGTATGGATATTTAAAATAATCAGAAATAAGCCTTAAGCTTCAAATCTGAAACTGACTTCTGTGTCATCTGACACCTGCTGTACAGTGCTAATTATTTTTACAGTGTACAAAATGCACAGCTGTCAGATTGGGGATTCAAATAAGCAACAGGACTCGTGTTCAGGTGCCCATCTGACAGATTACTTTTATTTTACTTCATGGCAATTCACATGACAAGATAAGTACATACGGTTTAGTAAGGGAGAGATTTTTATTTATTTATTCTTATATTGCTTTTTGAATTTAAAGGGCCTGTGGATTTTTGACGCCTGGTGTTGTCTGTCTCACAGCTACGGGACGTCTCCTCTGTTAACAAATAGAGGGACAATGTTGTGGGACAAACTGTCCTGGCTGCTGGCCCTCCTGGCCGTGTCGGCGGGCGGGCTGCCACCTTCCAATGATCCTCTGTCTGCTCCCAGAATCTTCCTGTCCTTTAAAGGTAAGGCACTTGAAAACACTGTGACCTTTCTTTTTGTGTTTCATCTGCAGACCTGGTGCAACACCTTCTCTCCATTTTGGTCTCTATCTGGAATGGGTTAACTGTTGGCAACAGCAAGATTCGGGGTTTGCAACCCTGGCTCTTGTTCAGCCAGAGCTTAACTGGGGTTTGATTGTGTGCGAGAAACCGGTGAGAATAATGAGATGTGCCGCTGATTGTCCGAACTATTCAGGGCCACAAAATTTGTCTTCATCAAATTGCACGGCTGTTATTAGTCCCCCCCAAAAACAAGCCTTTGTGTGACCTGGGCTGCTTTCTAAAATCAAGTCAAATTTAACACTTGGCTGTGCACGTAGTCCGGGTGCAGATCCAGCATGTTATGAATGTCGGTCAATGCCAGCGTGAGAGCCTGTGTGTTGAATTGTCCGGCTAAAATAGGTCCCAGCAGAGCTGTTTCTGCTGCGTTGTCAAAGTGGCGTCCAAGACCGTCCTCGAGGTTTTATTGTACCTGTCTCTGCTGACGACTTTAATATCGCTGAGTTCGGATCTGTCTCCTTTTATGAGATCACCACTCTTGAGTACTGTTAGCCAGACAGCTTTCATGTGAGAAAATTGAGGAACGCAGAATGAACTGCAGCTTTGAAGCCTTGAAAACCAAACCTGTGGGCGATTCCAGATGAACTTACGTGACGCGTGCTCATAAAAACAATAAAAATCCTGGATTGTCTCACACAGTTTGTGTTATTTAAGTCGGTTAATACAGAATTATTGATTCATGACGCTTGTTTGTCTGTATACATGATACCAAACAAGGGCAGCACTTAAGTCCATAAAAGTAGGTCGAGAGGTGGAGCATGGCCAAAGGGAAAACCCATTAACTTTTGTTACAGTTTCTCTCAAAATTACAACATAGGGCATTGGTTCTGATGGAGGCCTGTACTCTATTAATACCCTTCAATTCCCCCTTTTGCTTTAACCTTTTGAGCCCAATCTTTTTCTCTCAGCGGGTGTTTCACTTGTTAATAGTCTCACATTTACTTTGCTGGGAAATGTCAATTTATTTTCTACTATTTTAAATTTGTTTGCTTGTTTTTAATTAGTTTTGGAGGTTAGTTTATGCACGACGGAGCAACTTCAAATGGCCTGAGACTAGTAACGCATCTAATCTGTGTGATCCGCTAATTGTATGGATTTTTGCACTGCTCCACGAGGAATGCTTTATTAATTTTTTATGTGCTGGTGTACTTAACAAAGCACTTGGCTTTAGGCTTCATAATGGCAATGTACTGCAGTTATCTCTTGTGATAAGTGCCTCATGATAATGTAAACAATGAAATTTCCAAATAAGCATTTGAATTTCTAGCCAATATCAGAGTAAGGAAATGCAGAAGGTGAAGGCGTTAAAGGTTGCTGAATTTGCTGCACATGACCCAGCCTCACGTCTTTATCCATAAAGGTCTCTGATTATTTACATTTTAGGAAACTGGTGGGGAGGATTTTGCTACATTTGGCTGCCATTCAAGTTTTGTTTTTTTTTGTTTTTTTTTCTTATCCTGTATCCACAGTTCATATTTGCCTTTCTGACATTTGCTCTCTGTCGGAGCCACTCACAATGAACCATAGATGGAGCTAAACATGGCTTTTAATAGGAAAAAAAGACACAAGCAGAGCATTTTTGTATAAGGACAATGCTTAAAAACCCACTCTTTATTTCACACTCACATTAGGCTGCATCTGAGATGTGCATTAATATGCATGATAAAAAAAAAAAAAAAAAAAACAACTGACAAATTATATAAAAGCATCGCTGTGATATAACAGCACTTTTGCACCATGTTTGCGAGAGTTGATGTTGGCTTTTTTCCTTTGATGCTGATAGGCTGCGGCTTATAAATCCAACATCTCCATCGTTGAAATGAGAGGAATTAGTTCCTCGTTTTGAAAGGAAAACATGATTTCTTTGATGAAATGAAGGAAATTATCTCTACAGAACCAAAGCTGCTTTATGTATCCTGTCTTTTGAACTATTTTCCTTGCAGCTGATTTGAGTGTGTGTAGTGAACAACTCGACTTTTTTCTTCACTCTTTCTGCTATGGGATGTAAATCTGATTATGGTTGCAGACACACAAATCACTCTGGAAAGCTGACAGTATTTTCCCTGATGGTTAATAACAGTGTGCATTGCAGACTGAGTTTAGACCGACAATCAGTGAGTCAATGAGCTAAAATCTCTTTACAGTTCATCAAGCTTTTGGGTTGCTTTTCTTGAGGATGAGCAGGAAACTCCTCAGAATCGATGGGAAAGTGGTCGGATCTAAATGCAAAACAATCTAGGAAGAAAACCAGTTAAATGTCTCAAAAAAAATTGAGAATGGTAACACAAAATAACCTTAAACAAAAAATCAAATTCTTTAATTCATAGCTTATCAGAATGTTCAAATGGCCCAGTCAAAGTAAAACCTAAATCCAAATGGTTAAACACTACAAATCTAATTTGAATTTGATTGAATCTGAGATATTTTCCAGAAAATAAGATGCATAGACCTTGTAGAGAAATACCTCAAAGGATTTGCAGCTGTGTTGTATTGAAAACCAGTGATTCAGGAAAATATCGACTTGAAAGCATTTATATGCCATAATGTACTTTTTTGTAAAAAGCTTGAGTTGTAGGCATACTTTTCCATCCGACTTAACAGGTGTGCAGTATCTAGTATTTGTCCATCTCTGAAAAGTATTATAAAATGTACTGAAGCTTACAGCTGCTGTGAAGAGAGGTATGAGTACTTTTACAAAAAATGTAATGATATCACTTCTAGAAGCAATACATTTAGTGTCAGGCAAGTTTATTTATTTATTTGTTTATTTCAACCATTTCACATGTTGACATACAATTTCTGAATGAAAATGAGTAGTTTGAAGTATGGTACCATGATACTATTTGCATTAAGAACTTTGTGAAACTGCATCATATAAGACGAAAGGAATATCCATTTGAAGCAAATCATCATGCACGAGTCCATAAAAACAGAGCTGAGAAACAAAATCCAGGCAGCACACCTTTCAATTTCTGCATCATCTTCATTAGAATTAATTGAAAGGAGTAACTGACGATTTAGCACAAGGTTTTATTTAGAGAAACAGGACAAAAAGGCTCAAATTTGTGCGAGTATGTAGCTCTTCTGTCTCATAAAGGCTGAACTAGACTGGCTTGTGTCATCTGCTGGGAACTCCTATAGTTACATTTAAACAAGGTCTATAATCACCTGCTATTTTAGTGCACAGGGCTCAGCGAGGTTTTGACCCTTCAAACAGGAGCCAGTCACTCCCGAGGTTAACTGCTCTCAAACTGTGGGAGAATGGCACCATATTAACCAATAATAGCTTGTTAGGGCAATCCTCAGGCACATTTGAAAGTGTTTAACTCTGTTTTGCTTTGGCCTCTTTGTGGTCCGCAGCAGAACACCTGGGCGCAAGGTTAGCTGTGGGAAGAAAGCCTGCAGGAGGAAGATAAACCCAGGCAGTCCTGTAATTGAACTAATTTTCACGGATGGTCTTTAGGTTCGTTCAGCCTTTGTAGTCCCCCTCTCCTTTGGACGGTCTTCCTCTGACACGTAATGAGCTGATGGTTGTCACGCCTGAACAAAGACTTCACTATCGTGCTCATCTTTCCTGACGGTTCTCAGGGCGAGCGTCAGAAATGGTGACATGTCCTTCATCTTCTCATTCTCCGAATAATAAGCTGCTGCCACTGAGTTTGAACTTGCCGTTTTTAACTTTCCAACAATGGGGTGCTTCTGCAGATTATATCCCACTGGCAGATTTGTGAGAGACTTTTAGTTTCCACATGTGAAGTCAGCGTGACATTCCTCTACGTAGGTGGCCCTGTTCTGTTGTCATTTATTGGGCTCCTCTGGCAAAGGGAAAACATTAATCACGCCTGTCATGCCTGAGCTGTATCCCCAAATAGTTAAGGGGGTATGAAAGCATGCACCGTTGTCCACTTAGATTCAGCTTAGACGTTACCATGTCAAGACTAGAGAGCCAATCTTCATCTTTTCAGCGTTGACCTTGCCACTACTGCTTTTAGCTTGTTCTGAATTCTCTTTAGCATTCACAATAATCTTTAAGTAAAACTTTACCTTAACGGGGAGATTTTCAAAAGTCTTCCAGTATTTCAGCGTCCAACCTTTTCCATGACGGACTGAAGCTTAAAGCTCAAAAGGAGAAAATAAAGCAGGTTAACACATTTAGCCTTCCTGTTATCTCTCCTCTGGGTCAAATTGTCTAAATTCTGCTAAATATTTGTCCAGCTGATACAAATAGAGCCTAACATATACATATGTATCAGAAGAGATGAAGTATAAAACAACCATAAATTCAGAAATACAAAGCAGTGAACAACTTCTCTGTGCTGCCTCTGACTTTCATTTAAACACATACGTGATCATGAAAATAGTTATATTTGAGTGATTTTCCTTCAGTGACAATTTCCACATCGAGGATTGTTATAGGCTGGTAGCACTTAAGTATATGGTGGGTTCACTCATCAGAAAGGTATCATAGTTTTGAGTTTTTGATCGATTGATCAGCGAACCGTGCCGGTCAAGGTGAACGTCGTCTGATTCCCCAGATGATTTCTTGGTGCATCCAATAAGGCGGATATCCTGTAATTAATCGTTGCTGCAGAAAGTTTGTTGAATTTATTGTTGCAGGATTGTTTTTTTCTGAAATCTCTATCATCATTGTTTTAATCTTATGATGATGATTCAAAGTGATGCAACGCCTATAAAAATCAGTGCAACGTCACAAACCTGTTGCAGACCAGATTAGTTATTCATCAGACCCCATGATTGACTCTGGGTGATATGAATCATCAGGGAAGGTTCAGAGTCATTTTGTTTTGATTTCTACATGCATGTATAATGCTAAGACAGAAACTGACTGTAAATATTTTTGAACTTTTGTAAAGAAATGACTCAAAGAAAAAAATGTCTTTAAA